AGTTGATAGCCTCTGCCATAAATTAACATGTTTACAGGAAATTTAAAAGTTTAATATTACCTTTCATTATTGTTTAGAAACGTTTAGTGCTTAACTTTTTTTGATTGAGCGTTGTTCAATTTTTGTGTCACCTCGTAACCTTTGAATTCGTGGGAATTACTAGAAAATGTTTTCGATTTAAATTTGAATACGATACTAGCATTTTTGTTGTCCAACATCATAATAATGGATTTTTTTTTGTATTTTATGTATACAAACCGAGGTTCGACTATAGTCTTCTAATATTTGTAGCATTTAATTCGTTTTTGTGATCGCTAATATATAGTATTTTTAATTACTTTTCTTAAGGTCTCCCGTAGGGCAAGTTATAGTAATCGCAAAAAAATGTATATGTCTTTACGTTTCAGAGGTTTTTGAACATTTTTGCATACCCAAGAAAAAATTGATGTATGTGTGTGTGTGTGCGGATACAATTTTTCGTCGACAATTTCGGGAACACTAATCAACCGATATGAATAATTAAAAAAAACATTCGATTTGTATTGATAAGGAGACGTGCTGATTAGTTTTTCGCAAAGGCAGGTCTAGCCGTTCCGAAGATACGGGGAAAAAAGCTTCAAAAACGGTAACTCAGTTTTTAAGAGAACGGAGCGTCCGATTTTAATAATTCAAAAAAAGTTTATTGGACTCATGCACATCAAATTATCAGATATTTTATAGAAATTTACATAATGTGTACACATTTTGTGTAATTTTTTTTTGGGTTCCGTACCAAGATTTTTAATTACGGTACAGGTTTGCATACCCAAGAAAAAATTGATGTATTGTGTGTGTGTGTGCGGATACAATTTTTCGTCGACAATTTCGGGAACACTAATCAACCGATATGAATAATTAAAAAAAAACATTCGATTTGTATTGATAAGGAGACGTGCTGATTAGTTTTTGGAGAAGGCAGGTCTAGCCGTTCCGAAATTACGGGGAAAAAAGCTTCAAAATCGGTAACTCAGTTTTTAAGAGAACGGAGCGTCCGATTTTAATAATTCAAAAAAAGACTCATGCACATCAAATTATCAGATATTTTATAGAAATTTACATAATGTGTACACATTTTGTGTAATTTTTTTTTGGGTTCCGTACCAAGATTTTTAATTACGGTACAGGAAGTTCAGCAATTTGCCTTAAAGCAGAATTCCATGCACACCACTAGTTTGTTCTTTATTCATGTACAATTTTTGAAGTAACTGTTTTTTTAAAAAGGAGAAATTTCTAATAATTTCTACAATTACCAAATTTCTGACGGTAGGCGTAAGGGAATGCCCCTATGTTTTCATATCTGTATCAAATTGGAATTACTCAACAGGAGTTGTGTCGTCTACAAAATTCTCAAACCCATTTTGTAACATTCCATAATATTCTTATAACATAATGAATAAATGATCCGTCGATCAGATACCGGCAAAGATCTCGACGAGTAACATTGATTCCTTCGGATTTTCTTATGGTAGTTCGAATACCCGTCGCGTTCACTTCCTTTTTTTCTCATGGATCAACCTGGTACTTTTCCACTCGTGAAAGAAGTCTGTGGTTTCCAGCACTTAATAACGAGTTTTACCTACCAGATTTGATTTTATACCCCAGTTCAGTACACCCAGCATTTACACACAAATATGCATTTACACACATATGTAAAAGAATCGACGAAGCTGGATATTTCGTAACAAACAAACGGACTTGTCCAAGGGCGTACGTTGCCTTTTGAGCAGATTTAATTATTAGAATTGATTGATAGGAAGGTGTGCATTCTTCGTTAAGGGAATTTTCCATTTCATGTTGCTGAGTCTTAGTTTATGCAAAGAATAATACTTTTGGCAATTAACTGCCTTTTTTATTACGATTCCTCTGTACGAGTAAATACTATGTTGATTGAATCCTTGAATTAAATCCGTGATGAGCACATAGTGTATATAATTTAACAAGGACAGTAGCAAATCTTCGATACGTTTTATTATGATCACTTTCAATTTGAAATAATATTTATTACACATTTTAATAAGATTTTATAAATTTAAATTTTAAAATTAACTTAAAATTATTTTAAATTTCGTCGTAGGGCCGTAATATTTTAGTATGATCTAGAAGACTATGGTATGCACCGTCAAAAAAATAATAATAAAAAATCGACGAAAAAAATTTTTAACGCCGTATTACAAGAAAACGGCCCGGCCGATCTCTACCAAAAACTAATCAGCACGATTCCCAACCAATATCATTCGAACGGCTTTTGAATTTTCGAAAATCGATTCAGAATTGCGGGCTGAAACGTAGACGAATTTTTTTTTCACTTTTTTGCGATTTATAAAGAAACGGCTTGGCCGATCGTCGCACAAAACTGACAAACAATAGTCCTCATCGAGGTACATCAAATGGATTCTAAATTTTTGAAATCGGTCCAGCCGTTTTTGAGAAAACGTCGATTTACGGCAAAAAATCTGTTCACATTTATATTATACATAAATAAACTATGACTGCTCCTAAGGAGGTATAGATGGCGATAGCATTCCGAAAAGTTTTTGTAATTAGATGTTTAATTACAAATTCATCATTAATTTTCAACTCATATAAAAGTGTTTTATTTATGATTGACATATATATTACTCAGAATGCAATAATTTTTTCATCATAATGTATACTTTTTTAAACGTAATGTAACAATTAAAAGATGGATGTTCGATTATAAGATGGATTCTTATTTAATTTATGTATAATATATTTAATTATATGACAGAATTTAGTAAGTGGTCTTACAGTTAGGTCTCTAGAAAATAAATAAAATGCTAAATTTATGCATAAACAGTTACAATTTGTTGCGAATCGAAGTTTAAAGTCTCAGCATTCGTTCACTAATAATTTAGAGTAAAATTGTTAAATATGTATAGTATTAGTTATTTTAACCAAAAATAATATTAAAATGAAAATGAAGATATACAAAAATGACAAGGATAAAATGAGATAATTCCTCCCAATTCGAAGTTTTTTTTATAAGAAACAGTAAGGAAACTACGTTTGGATCTAATAATAATTTATAAATTTCAAGGCGAGCGTTGATAACAAAATTATTTTGAAGTTTTTTATTCTAGGTGATCATGTAAAAATAAAGATACATATAAAAACTTAGATATAATGTAATTTAAATTAAAAAAAAATCTTAGATATAATGTAATTTAAATTAAAAAAAAGCGCACTGTATTTTCGGTTTTGAACAGTTTATTATTTTGTCATGACATTAGAAATCTAAATTCAGTAATTTCACCATTTTATATTTGTATGCAATTAATTTTTTGCAACAATTTTTAAAAATTGGGGTTATTTTTGTAGCGGATACGTATAGACTACATAAAATTGCCTTATTTTAATATTTAATTAAAAATACTTAATAATAGCATAATGTTACATTGAACAGGACTTTTTTAATAGTGTGCCTAAATATAATTATACATCTAGTTTTTTATACTTCTCAATTTTGATTGATCGTTTTTCTGTGAGCGTTCAAAGACCACGGAAATATAAAGATTTTGTTTTGATGATTCATAAGTAGTATAAAAAGTGAGTTTGTCCAGAGGAAAATATATTTAATAGATACGCCGCCTTATATTTTTATTCCAGCTCAGAAAACTTTCCGTAATTCATTTGGAATATGAACATATCATTGAATTAAATTCCTTAATTATCGCAAAAGAACATTAATTGCTAGTATTCTGTACTATGAGTTGCATTTCGAACATTTAACATAGAGAAATAATTGTACCGGACGAATTTTACTATTAACATGTAACGATAATTAAAACAGGGTTATTAAATACAGATTATGAAACATTGTAATGATTTTCATAAAGCAACTTATGTCAATCGTAATTGATTTTTAACTATGTCATTTAAAGTGGTTGAAATTCAACAATAACCATTATCAATACCAAATCCACGAAGATACAAAATTGTAAATGTGTTGAATATTTTTATTTATCATATCCAGTTTTATAAAATCTTAATATTTTGAGATGTTAATAAACATTCGATTATTTTTTTAAATGTCATTTGGATAATAAATATTTGCAGGTATGACATATTTGTGAGAATACCTCTTTTTATAAGTTCTATATGTTGTTATCTGAGATTACGTCAATCTCTAAATTAATCAATATGAACAAAATGGATGCATATAAATACTTTGAATGAATTCAGACTAGTCTAGACTATCAAAACTAGTTTTTTTGTAAATTATGCTGTTATTAATAATTATGCATATCATAAATTTAACGATTGAATGCATTTTAATTAATAAAGGAACCGAATTATCTGATCAAAAATTGCTGAAATATATATCTATGGAAGGGTGGTCCATATTAAATACCAGAATTGTAGACATAATAAATTCCATGAAATATTATGTTTTATACTTGGTTTATTTTATGTATGATTAGTATTGACAACACTATGTGTAATCAAATTGATCATTTATAAAATATAGTTGGTATTTACTTATTTACAATTAAAAAGAAAAGGTTTCAAGAATTATAATTTTGGCAATGAGACAAAGGGAGAAACAAAAGCGAGATCAGATCTGACACTTGAATTATTTTGTTTCCTCCGTGTTGTCACTATATGAGCCTATCTGTCCAGTAGAAATGCGATGCGTGTTGACAGGCCGCTACATATCTCAGAAATATATTTAAGCGTTTGCAAGAATTGTAACAATCGTCAAAGAAACTGTTATAATTAAACTACAAATATAAATACTGTTGCTTTTCTCGAGTGCAATAAATTAATTCCAAACCTACAACACTTTTAAAGACCAAAATTTATGATATCACTATAGTCAAACAAACCTGCTAATAAAATCACCCTCATCATATATTAATCAGTTCATGAGATTTACAATGCAATAACATTATCTTATAAATGCAGAACTCCGAGAAAATGATCTTAACAATAAAACTTACCAATAGCGCGATGTTGGGCACCATTAGAATGTCGTCCTCGCTTCTACCACCAGGAATTGACTTTAGGGGATGTCTTGGAATTGTCGAAAGTGTTCCATTTGAATTAAATACCACATTGTCATGAATTGGATCTTCCCTATTAGAACGAATAAATGAGTTAGAAAATGGCCAATATAATTGCGTTGTTAGTAATAATTAGATTCTGGACTGGATTTATTTTGTTTATATACAAATTTATACCAGCACAAACTAGAATTTTTTAATATTTTTAATATTTGCGTCTATCACCATGAAACATCAGCAAATTTTTTGGGTGCCAATCTATTGATTGGACGTCCGAGTATAATGGTATCCTGATTTGCTATTACGATTACCAGAATTTTGGTGTTAAATGGCCGAAAATGAAGAACAATCATATAATCATGAAAATAATTCAAAAATTGCTTAACTTATACTTATTATTAAAGTATATTCATAATGATTTACATAATTCTACTATTATTGAGATTTCAGCTAATTAACCTATGTTGGCATATGTACTCTGGTATAGTAATAAATTAGTATTAATTATTCATAGCAGTTGATTTATACTTAACGTTAAGATCTCTACGACAATGCTCTACAAATTTTCGTCATGAATTGCTAATCAATATTATTCCCAACTCAATCTGCCGAATGATATTAGAATTTTTAATTTGAATTGATTAATTTTTTCTTCTCAAGTCTAGGAAAATTTGTTAGAACAAATTTACATATAGCGGGCGGTTGAAAAATAATTACTCTCATTAGATAATAATATATAATAATTATATAAAAAATAATCCCAAATAGTTCAATCGTAACTCGAATGTTTTTTTTTATTTACCAGCAATCAGAACTTTAAGTTTTTATGAGCTATTTTGCTTATTTTTAAGTAACAACGCTATTAGAAGGCATTTAGATTGTCCTAACTAGCTGTGATATAATTTTTGTTTTCGAAAGTTTTTAGAAGGCTACGGTCGTCTTATCCAATTGTGGTAATGCATCCTCGAATTGCTGTTTTTGTTTGACTCCAATCTTAAAGTTTGATCTTAAACCGACCAATACAGCAGAATTGGCGGTTAAATACGTAGCGTTTTGATAGTTTTTAGTACTACTTTATATGAAAAACGCAACGTAACATAGCCTTGCCATAACATTAGTCTATTTTACGGAAGGATTGGCTGGTTAGTTTTGTATTATACTCACATATAAATATAAGGTCCGACCTCTTCAACCATCATTTTTTCTTCGCCCTTGAGAAAGGCTTCGGCATTTGTAACATTGAATATATAGATTTTAACCCGAAGTTCGACTGGAGGATCACTCCACATTCCAAAGCTTTCACTACCATCGGATAAAATCGATTTCTGCAATAAATACAAATACACAAAATAGAAAATTCAAATACAAAATTAGATAAGATATTAAGCTGTCCGAGATGGATATAGAACCTGAAGCCTTGGTTGCGAGTCCAAAGGTTTCACCACATGGCCCATATTATAAAATGATAATTTTCTTCAAAAGTAAATGTTTTTTGTGATTCAAATTTATAAGTCCGTAAAGTTTGTGAGTCATAAACCAAATAATAAATAATCATGAAGGTGTATAATTTATTTTATCACTATATATTAAACATGGATCTAAAATTTACAAGGCCTTGGGTAATATATACGTACATTATACAAATACTTGTGTATATACATATACATCTATATAGAGCGGGCTGATTTGTATGGGCCATAAAAGTCGCTTAGGCACATGATTTTCGTATACTAGACATTAAGATAAGGTACTTTGCTGAAGAAATCATACCCCTAAAATGAATTCTGATATCCCGTGCATTGACTTAAAAATAAGGGTTAAAATTTGAAAAAAAAATATTTTGATTCATTTAGAGTGCCCCCATCGTTTACAAATGTATGACCGGTCATCACTAACTTTGGTAGGCCGTTCCACTTATGCCCGTGAGGTTACCACCCCCCCCCCCGAGAGGTTTTTCAAAATTTATCCCTTATCTTTGAATTAATTCACGGGATATCAGAATTTATTTTAGAGGTATGGTTTCTTCAAAAAAGTATCTTATTTTGATTGCTAGAATCCGAAAATCATATGTGCCTAAGTGAATTTTAAATTGACCCACCCTAATATATTTATATATGCACGTTGTTTATAAAACATTCTGCTTCTAAATTTAATAAGGTGGTGTCTTCAGATATATTACTTATATAAAATTCTATGAATACTTTCGTTCTAAAAGTAATTTTGTTCTTCACTCAGGATTTAATTTTTTTTTCAACTCCACTTCATAAATAAAGCGCATCATATTTTTTGTAGCTTGTGTTTGAAAAATTGAGAATTATTTCACATAGTTGTTTTTGAATGAAACGCCCAACTAAGATATATCAAAAATGCCAAAATGCAATTAATAAACCCTCTGTCCAGATACAAAAGTTAATTTGCTTAATAGTCGAATGCAATTTGTACAATATTCTAACATAATAAGATAAAGCTTTGGAAAATTCCATATAAAGGAATTCGACTTCATGATCCACTCACCCATTTGAATATCAAGTCATAAGGATGGGCCAAAAATATGAAGATACCGGTTCCTATGCCAATCAAGCCGGCCACCATCATCACAAATACACCTGCAAACAATCAGAAAAATGACTTAAGAAAAAAAAATTTATAATATAGGATATTCTAATGGTCTTGAAAGATCCTGTGATTTGTAGGATACAAGTCATTAGTTTTCATCGTTCCTTTTTTAGATTAAAGTTTGCTGGCTGAATTATATATCTTTGTGTCTTTGAAATATTTTAGTGAAAGGTTTATTATATCGATTTGTGCAAAACATAATCATAATTCAGATTAAAATTTATTCTATTATATCAAAGTTTGAATAAAAATATGTAATTCTTAAATTAGTATAAGGTCTTATTCGAACCAAATAGGCATAATTACTTCGAACATAGAATCTAAACAATAATAGAAAAACAAAAGTTTTTTAAACATCCATTTTTTATTTATTTACTGTTGATGTTTCGGTATAGATACACTCCATTTTCACGATAACTGTCGAGAAACATGATCTTGATAAGATTTAAACAATCAATATATTTAAGAAAAGTGGAAGCTCTACAAAATATTTACAAATCCAAGACTCTACACACACACACACACACACACGTATATATATATTATATATATATATATATGTATATATATATATATATATATATATATATATGTATATAATATGAGTAAGTTCTTGTGGGGCGAAGCATCAAAGAATAAAAAGCAAAGATTTGACGAACGATAAGACGAACATGTTGTCAGCTTGGAGTATGTGTTACATGTAACACATACTCCAAGCTGACAACATGTTCGTTTGGAATAAGCTTTTTTATAATGAAATATATTATTTATTTTCATTTTACAATTATTTAAAATTTACATAACTCGACGTTTTATCAATTTGTTGTTTCATATTTTTTTCGTGCAATTTCGTGTGTTTTTGTTTTTTTTTTCTCAAATTTATTTGTATGCACTGAAGATGGGTCAAATCAAGACTCGAAACGTATGCTTTCTGAATAAAAACATTTTCTTTCAATAAAACTGTTTTTGATTGCTGGATGGATGCCCAAGAACAATTTTATATTTTTTCACCATCTGAAGAAAAATCTCTTGCTTTATATATATATATATATATATATATATATATATATAATTGAAAATATTATGACAAATATAATAAAATATTTTCTATATTACAGAAAAAAAGTAAAAATCTCTGTGTGATCTGGGAACTTCTTCTTGACCTCTCTTGAACTCTATTAGGACCAAAAACTGATTTCGAAGACATCGAGTTAAAAGGAAAGTATTTTTTTCATAATTTATTTTACAATTTTTAGAAAACGTTCTACAAAATATTTACTTGTTTAAGTACAAGTAAACATATGTTTTATAAATATTTTTCTATCTTACCACCTAAAATATTACGTATGTGTATTTCTAATTAAGTTATTAAATAGCAACAACGAGTGCTTCATATTGCACTATACTAAATATTTTCATAATGGCAATAATAATTCAGGATGAAATTACTTCTACATTAATTAGTACATTTTTGCAAGTAATGGAAATCTGTCATTTATCTTGTTTATAAATATATATCGATAGAGAACTCGAATAAACCAATATTTCTCATAAAAATTGTATAGCGTAGTATCTCATTGGTAAACAGAATTTGCATACTCGTACGCTTGTTGATCCAGGAAGTTTTTTGACCGCAATCGACGAAAGAAATAAATATAATTTTGGGATTTTCCAAACCTTCAACTTGACCATGAGCTTGGGGCTTGTCGCATTGTCTGCGCGCGTGTTGCGAAAATTTGCTTTTGAGAGAATTGAGTAAGAAAGCTGGTTTATATATTCATCAAAGTCGAAACGATCGATTAAAGCGATTGAGATTTTTTTAATGAATACCATTAATAGTACGAACGATTATATTATAAATAAATAAAGCGCTTAATTGACTAGTAACGTCACCATATTTATTACCTTCCCGTAGGGTAAGTTATAGTAACCGCAAAAAAATTAAAATGAAAATTTATATATATCTTTACGTTTCAAAGGTTTTTGAACATCTTGGCATACCTTAGAAAAAATTGATGTGTGTGTGTGTGTGCAGATACAAATGTTCGTCGACGATTTCGGGATCACCGATTTGAATATTCAAAAAACATTCAATTTGTATTGCTAAGGAGGCGTGCTGATTAGTTTTTGGGGAAGGCAGGTCTAGCCGTTCTGAAGATACCGGGCAAAAAGTGCCAAAAAACGGGAATTCAGTTTTTAGGAGAACGGAGCTTTCGATTTTAATAATTCAAAAAACATTTTACTTGTATTGACAAAATGAACTGATTGAATTTTTGGTAAGGCAGGTCCAGCGTTTATGGACTCTCAATAAAAATAATTTAAAAAAATGCCATTTGGCGGTCAAAAATGTTTATTGGACATACACATCAAGTTATCAGTTATTTTATAGAGATTTGAATATTGTGTAAACATTTCGTGTGAATTTTTTTGGGTTTCGTACCAAGATTTTCAATTCCAGCAATTTGCCTTAAGGCACGATGCCATGCACCCCACTAGTTTAAAATTTCTTGAAATAAATGCTTCGAGCTTTACTTATGTGGTATAAAATACGAACATCGATACGTTGCCATTTATTTTGTTTAGCTAAGGTATTAAAAAAAACTATTTTTTATTGTTACCGTTATTAAACGAATTATTAATACAAATATATTTAATTAGTTAATAGTTATAAATATTTATTGCAATATTTAACTACGCATTGATATGGAACATTGTAAGCACGAATATATGGCGTGCGGCCGATTTTTAAAACTTTAATTAAGTTTTAGAAAGAAACCGCCTTTTCTAGGCCTATAATATTTTAAGATGTTCAGTTTGACTATTAACTCTATTGCCATGCGAAGTTTTATCAAAATCCCAGAAGGGTAAAATTGAGGTCCTTGTTAGTCAGATTATTTTTTTTCCAAAGTTTCAAAAATTTGAAAAAAATTGGGAAATTTAATCTACGATAGATACCAATTGCGAATCGAGCTTAAAAGTTTTTTAATTTTTCGATCGCGTGCCATTTAAATTATTATTTCTTGTTGATTTTAAATAATACGTTATCGACGAGGTTAAATATAGAAATTATAAAAATTTGTTTAATAATTGCAGATAAAGCATATTATATAGCCCATAATCTGTGTTTATTATTATAACAATAATATTATGGCAATCCTCATTACGATGTTCAACCTCATATATGATTTGATTAATTATTATATATAGAATAATTCAGAACAATTTATTTATACAGTTATTAACATATTCAGCAATATAAATAGCAATAAATAGGTGTGTTTTTCTCGTTACCGTAATAGTGTAATTGATTAATAACAATGACGCAAATTTAATTAATAATTTTGCATTTGTTTTCTAAAGAATTGAAATTATTTATTATTTTAATGATGTTACGTATCACAGTGCAAATAATTAACAGCATCTGCATTTATAGAAAAACTTGAGCTTTAACTTTTACTTGTTGCGCATTGTTGTTGTAGGTTAGACCATAATATTTATGCAAAATATTAAATCATAATCCTATACTGTTTTTGCTTTTTATTTATGGAAATTCAATGCAATTTGTTAAGTGTAACTCAGCATCCGAAAAAATGAGAAACGAACGATAAAGAACGCCAATGTTCAGATTGGGAATAGTGCCTTGAATTTAATATTTCCAGTTATCTAAGTTTTGAACTACTTATTTACAGTAAAACATGTAATACAGCTAAAATTGTTTATTATTGAATTTTTATTAGTTTTTATTGGATACACACTTCAAAATTCCGATTGAAATTAGATCAAGGGCCACATAAACTATGTCGATATCAGATCGTGATAGGTCACGTAGACCTATATACGAATGCAAAATGTTTAAATAAACAGAAACTTAATTTAGAACTTATAGAAGATATTTTTTTTCCGAACCAATTGCATTTAGTAAAATTTTATAAATTCTTTAAACTACCTAATAAAACTGTTTTAGGCTAGAAATATGTATGTATTATAAAAATATTGAATATCGATTATTAATGAGTTACATTAGGAGCCAATGATATATTTTAAATTGTAAATATTTTCTTTGTTTCATAGTTATTACATCAGTGTTAGTCGTTTTTCTTAAAAAACATATTTTTAGGGAATTGTGGTATATTTTTCAAAGTTAATTTTTATAATTGAACCACTTCTCATAGACTTATAATATTTTAAAGTATTCGGGTTGATTATAAACTCTATCACTATGCGAAGTTTCATCAAAATTCCAGAAGAGTAAGAGTAAACCCCCCAGAGGTTCTACTTGTTAGACAATAATTAAAATAAAAGCTGTATTCATTGCATGCGAATGCATAAATATAATCATTCTGACATTCAGATATAAATTTGTAAATTTGAAGACACGTCCATGATTTTTATAAACATATTGAGTAATACGTTCTTTAAATACATACTTTGCTTAAAATATTCGTGAGATATTCTACAGAAATTTTTGCTCGTTTGCACAGAGTTTTAATAACAATCGATTTTGATTATTACCAAAAAATTTTTGTTTTAGATTTGATTTAATGATAAATTATATCTTAATGATAATAGCCCTTTCCCGATAAATTTATCTCATACACATTTTATAAAATCACAAAATTAAGTGAGAAATATTACGAAATGTTGTTAATTTTTGTTAAACTACGTCTCGATAATGCATAACCCGTTCTCCTTCGATTCGATCACAAAGCCCTTGTTAAAATGTGAATAGAAATTGGTGTATCATATTCATGTATCAAATCTCAACACATGTCAGAAAACACGTAGACAAGTTTTTGCATATAAAAATAAACATATGTAAATGTTAACAAATCACTTTTTATTTATTTATTTTTAATTTTTATTGCACAATTATTACGTGTTTACGTAAACGAACTATTGCTAACAAAGATGTCGAAGTATCAGTATCAGTATATATGCAGAAGCCGAAATGATTTGATAATTAATAATTATTATTATTATTAAAAATTAACACACGTATTATTCGAGCGTAACGGAAATCAGTTTTATCTAGAGCAATACTATATATTTATGCTGTAATTTTATGAGCAGTTAAATAATTTAATGTTACATTTTTTATTTTATTAGGCCAATTAGTTAACCAAATCTCGAACATTGATACATGCATATTCATAATTATTATTTTATTGCATTAATTTACATAAATGTATAATGAGAAATAAATGTATACCGAATCATGTTTATCAAATGCTGCAGTATCAAAATAATGGAAAATAACATTGGATATCGTACATTTTTATTAATTAAAATCAGCAATTAGAATCTGATAGTTTTATGAGCAATTGTGATGATACTTTGCCTTAACGAATCTTTATTGAAGACAACCTAAAGGTTGACCTATCGATAATTGATATAATTTTATTATTAGAGTTTATTTATTTGAATTTGATGCGAAAATTCCGGGAAAGGGCTATTTTCTCTTGGAAACAAATCTATCTATCTCAAGTCAATCGTTACACTATGTTACTGCTTGACATCATGCTGTTATAAGTGGGAATTAAGTCTAGAATTGCTGCTTTAAATGACAAATCATCAGTATTAAAAAAATTCCAATAATAAAAATATAACTAAACCATAGGTTACCTTCTAAAAAGCTACTTAGCTACGAAGTATCATCCCAAAGCCTCATAGGATTCTTATAAGTTCTGATTGCTGCTCAAACGCGAAAAATATCAGTTGACGCAAGACGCAAGACGCAAGAACATAATCCTAAAGGATCGAATTCCTAATCTCAAAAAATTCATCTCTATTGAGCAATAAAACATACCAAACAAGAATAGCTTGATTTTATTTTCTAGAAAATGTATTTATAATTATGTACATATCATTTGTTCGTGTATCGTTAATCTTGTGAATTTTTATTTTATAAGCTTTTATTATTTTCTTATCAATTTTATAATAAAATGTCTACCAAAGTTTCGGATACAAATTAAAGTAAATTTAATGGAGTCATTTTTGTGTTCATACGTAAAGAATCTTCTTGATCTTAATTGTTTTTGTAAATTACTAAGCAAATTAAATTAATTTAAATACTTAGTAATAATCAAGCTATTAAACTATTATAATTTAATTATTATGTAATTATGCCCATGAGATAGAATATCATAATTACATTCGAGAAAAATGCAAATAAAATTTATAATAGTTTTACAGCTTTGAACATTCGATTAATTATATAA